TTCTGCTATCACTTTTTCGATGTCTTTATTACTTTGGATCTTAAAGACTGATATTTGCGTGAAATTTGATGAATTGCGTGACATCGTTTTTACAATTACAGCGATGCGATCACCCCTTTTAAAACTCAGTAAAGTAGCAAGAACCATGAAAATTGTTTTTTTGCTCTAAAGCCATTGGAATGATAGACAGAAACTTGGCTACCCATTGTGCTTTTGGTTGGAGGAGTCATTTCTGCATTCAAACAGATTTACTAACCATCTCGTAGTACAGATGTGTGGGGTAGCTTGTGGGAAGAAAAACACCTCAAACTGGTAGCTAAAAGTGCGAGACGGGAGGGAAAGTAAAAAAATACCCCCCCCGAAAAAATTGAAACACGTGTCTGCAAATTGCTGTTTTGTTCAAAAACAGTAAGCCTAACCAGCGTCAAGAGAGTGAAAATTATTAGAGATTTAGAGTCACATTGCGTCAGCTTCACGGCTTCTGCTAGCAAGCAAACACGATCATCATAGAATCAAGTTAATGAACAGTCAAAAACAGTTGAAAGGTCGCTTGGAAAATATGATTTTTTAGCATACCCTCGGTTTATCCCTCGTGACGGGTCCGAAACGAACATTAAAACTATCAGCAATCACAACTGCTTGCAAAACATCTTCTTGTTTGAGGTCTTCGTTGCGGCCTTTTCCTTTCGGGGCCATATTGAATGTTGTTATGAACGAAGATCGAGCCCTTGATTGTTCAAAGTGAGTATTGTTAAGCTTTATTTTCAATAATAGTCAAAAAAGTAGATTAATGTATTAAAATCTTTAGTGATTAATATATATGAACAAAATATATTTTAGAATACTACATAAAAACGCTATGCTATTATAATTCATACTATTTTATTGTCTAGTTATAAAATACAAGATGCTCCCCTTGGAAGAGGGATAACTCTGCAATTAATTAGTTCCGCTTTCTTTTCCGTCCCACTCTTTAATTTTTCCTCCCTGTAGGCCTAGACTCGATTATAAATAACAGCGTTATGTAGAGATATTATCTTTAACAACTCCTTTAGCAAGAGTTTTTTGAACTTTTAGGAAGTTTCATAATGGAGAATTTAAAACATAAAAAGCACTTATAACAATCAAGGAAACTAATATCTATCTTTGATAGTGTTTATATAACGATTTTTGCTATACGCTAAGTGGCTAAGTGCCAAAGATTGCAAAGACCCATTGAATCAGTAGTCGAGTACCACTTGCTCGGACGGAACTCGGAACTTCCGCTGTTGCCATCAAAGCTCTTTCCTTTTACTTTTTACTCTTCCGATCTCTCTATAAAAATTATCGTTATCATTCATGTCAACATCCTTTCAAACTTGTTAGAAAGGAGCACTAGATTCTAGATCTAGATCTAGTTCTTGGGATTGGATACGTTCTGAGGAAGAGAACATAGATATCTAATCTCTAGATCTAGAATCTAGGTCGAGTAAAATCAGGTAAGAGTCTTGGTTGTCCTGAATGTCCTCTTTTGAGGGAGTGTATACTGAACTGTATACAGACCCGGTAACCGGGAACAAAGTCACAAAGTATACAGTACAGACCCGGTAGGGGAACTCTTTTGTGATTTCGGAGAGCTTCTGCGCCCTCTTGATTCAGGGTAGACCTAGGTTCTTCTAGATCTGTGGCCTAGGTCTAGATCTAGATCTAGATCTAGGCAGACAGACATAAATCTTTGAAAAATCTAGTTTCGCGGCTAGCCTAGGTCTATAATCTAGATTCTAGATCTAGATCTAGATCTAGATCTAAATGAAGATTGCGGATGTCTTTGGAGTTGGAGGAATCGCAAGACGCAATTTAAAGAAAAGAACAATGTCATAATTTCAATCGAGCAGACACCCTCTCTATTTCTCTCTTTCTCTCTCTCTCTCTCTCTCTCTCTCTCTCTCTCTCTCTCTCTCTCTCTCTCACAAACACACTCACACACACACTAGTCTAGATTTCTACCGGGTCTGGGGGCTGAAACTTCCCGAAATCACAAAAGAGTTCCCCTACCGGGTCTGTATAAGGCCACCTCTATTCTCACCCGGGATGAGAATAGTGCAGGCGAGTCTTTTGGCTATTCTCACCCGGTGCGCGTTCACCGTTATAGCCTAGATCTAGGCCAGCAAATTTTGCGTTCACCCTAAACCACAGAATTCTACACTGCGATAACAGAAACATTGTAGAATTCTGTGCCGTGAACAAACGTTCCATTACAACTGTAGCCTAGCCTACTAAAAGCATACAATTTTGTCTGTGGGCAGTGGAGAGAGAGAAAGATAGAGAGAGAGGAGTAGCGCGAGAACTTCCGGTCAAAACTAAATGGCGACCCGCGTAGTTCGGCTCGATTCGAAAAGTTAAATAGCTGTAGCATCTTTGTAGACAACCAAATTAATTTACTTTTGTGTTTTAACATCATTTTTTAACTTTGTTTTGGTCAATTTGATCGTCCACACCGATAGACAGTATTCAGAAAGAGACAGAGAGAGAGAGATAGGGGAGGAGTAGATCTTGCGAGAACTTCCGGGCAAAACAAAATGGCGACCCGCGTAGTTCGGCTCGATTCGAAAAGTGAAATAGCCATAGCATCTTTGAAGACGATCAAATTAGCTTACTTTTGTGCTATAACGTAATTTTTTCTTGGCTTTTATCAATTGGATCATCCACACCGATAGACAGTATTCCAAAATGAGGAAAAGCAGGTCTTGTTTCGCACCGGGTGAGAATAGCCTACGCTGGCAATTCTCACCCGGGGTGAGAGGTAGATCGTTTTTCTATTCTCACCCCGGATGAGAATAGCAACTTCCTCTGTATAATTCGTGACTTTGTTCCCGGATACCTGGTCGTTCTTTAATTAAAGTGCGCAACTTGCACACACACACGGAACCTCAGAGATTTTTCGCCCTTGTTCCGAGAAGGCTAGAGGTGTAGATCTTTCATCTACCAAGCGATCAGGGGTGTGGCTGAAAGACAGTAAGACGGAGCCAAGGAGAACTGTACGCTTCAGAAAAAGTCAGGAGCCCAGACTAGGGTGCAAAGGAGGTGAGGGGGATCCGGGCAGAAAGTGGAGACGAAAGCACCTGTGAGAACATTGCCATTGCTAGAGGGCATGGAAAGAGGTGAAATGAAACAGAAAGGAGACAATTTTAAAGAAGAAAATTTTTCTGTCGTTACCCTGATTTGAACCTGGCCTTTACTACTCTGGGCCACGAGAGCCCCCAGGTAGGGTGTTCAAGTTCGTTCTCTTCTCTGACCACTAAAACAGTTGATGTCCAAATTGTGATCAAATTTTCAACTCTTCCTGGCAAGTTTGCAGTTGAAACCCAATCGTGATCTCTACAAAGTTATGGGGAATAATGCCCCATCAATTCAAACTAAGCGAAATGGATGACGGTGGGAGGTCTGACATGAAAGATGAAGCGCACACAGAAACATGGGGAGAGAAAGATGATGTACAACATTTTTTTTCCACCCAAGGGCGTCATACTGAGCTGGCTGGTCACACATGGTGTCGTAAAGTCTGTCATCATGGTGACTACTATAGGCTCATTCTCAAAGACATGCTGAGACCTACGATCCGGGAAAAGACCCGCTTTTCTTGAAGACAGCGTCATTCTATCTGCATCATGGCAATGCGCCTGTTTTTAAGTCCAGAGTTGTGAACGAGCTTCTTGAAGGCTACTCGTGGAAATTATTGGAACACTGCGTTATTCGTGGAAATTATTGGAACACCGCGTTATTCGCCCAATCTCGCCCCCCATGCAACTTCCACCTCTTCTCCAAGGTGAAAGAAATGTTGCGAGGTCAGCGATTTGAAGACGAGGACAAGAGATTCAAGAGGCTCTCTATGAGAAAAACACTAGGGACCTTGGATAAACGATCACTGACTAAGTCTGTCTTTGACCGCTGGGTACATCAAATAGAGAAATGTCTCGAACTTTATGTTTCCTACGTTGAATTGGTATTCGAATTTAAACTTTCTTTTGATATCGAAATTCAAGGTGATTTATAATAATTTTATGACAGCATGACAGGGAAACTTTCTTCTGAGACAGACCTTGTAATTATACATTTTTATGCATGTTGTGTATCGAGAGAACAGTACTGTACCAAGAATTTGATGAAGTCAGTGTTGCTAGCAATGATCAACAATAAAAGAGCTAGCACTTGTGCACAAGTACTAGGCCACAATCAAATCCAAATGTTTGTAAATTGTTTATGTGGGTGGTTAACAGGTGCTCTGGTGTGGTTTGCTCCTTCTTTCCTATCACACATCTATTGTCCTGATCTCTCCTCCTTCTTTTTTGTGTTTGTTACTCTCTTGTAACACCTTTAATCTTCGGCTCTTACATCATGACCTTATTTTGTTGCAAGTGCAGTAAAACTCTTACTAAACTAACACGGTTTATCAAGTGTGTATTATGTGTGTTCGTGCGCACGTACCTCAATTTGAATCATTTCATTGTTCTAGTACACAAGAGATTAAGGCTGAGGGTTTCTGATGTTTGCTTTTTTATTTTTGTTTTAGTTTTACACTCAGTCTTTTATTTTTAAAAATGTTGAAATGGAAGTTTGGCTCTTTTTGAAATTCAAATTATTTTAAAATGATTCAACCAGTCCCTCCCTCCGGATTACAAGTTCTATCTCATGACATTTTTGCCTGTTTTGAATTACTAAGACCATGAGGTCAGAAACCAAATTTTAATCACAAAATCATAAAATTATTCAGAGTCGTTTTATCAAGAAATTCAAAGAATTGCATTCGAAAAATCTTTTATAAAATGACATGACTTGATAATTTAATTCCTTTACTAATACCTGTGTCTAATAAAGATTTTCTTTTGGTGTTTTTTTTTGTTGTGTGTTTCTTAAAGTGAATTATAGGATATCGCATGATTTTCAAGGATAGGACCTCTATGTTACCTCTGTATGAGCTGTGAGATTTACACAAAGCAGTGGAAACAAACTGTTGATTTTTAAGCCATCATGTGAACGTGTGAGTTTGTTAGTGCACTCACAGGCAGGTTATGTGACACGAAATAATTTTTTGTATGTTAAATGAGTATGTGTGTGTTTTTGTGTTTTTGTAAAGTGTTTTACGGTGCTCGCAACTGCATAAGGTCATAAGAGACGCCCGGGACACACCTAATATTTTCAGTTGGTAGGAAATTTTGAATTTTGCCCGGGTGGCGGCCGAAGCCTACTCTTATCGATTTTAGACCACCAAGGGGTCTTTAACGTGCGCAACGTAACGTGCACACGGGCCCTCCGAGATTTTTCACCCTTGTCCGAGAAGGCTAGGTGTAGATCTTTCCTACCAGAAGATCAGGGGTGTGGCTGAAAGACAGCAGTAAGAGGAAACGAAGGAGTAGCAGTAGAAAGGCTGCAGAAAGAATCAGGAGCCCAGAGGAAGGGGAAGAGGAGGTGAGGGGGTGGGGGCACAAAGAGGAGACGAAAGCAGACAACAGAACATTGCTAGAGAGCAGGAAATGGGGTGAAAGGAGACAAATTTAGAGAAGAAAATTTTTCTGTCGCACCCGGATTCGAACCCGGGACCTTTGGAATGAGAGGCCAACACCTTAACCTCCAGGCCACGAGAGCCCCCTGTGTGTGTTTGTGGAAAATACAATGGGAGAGAGAGAGAGGGGGAGAGAGAGAGAGAGAGAGAGAGAGAGAGAGAGAGAGAGAGAGAGAGAGAGAGAGA